TGCACGCAGGCCCCTTTCAGAGCCAGACCACGTTTTCCTCTCCGGTAGGCCACTGAGGAGATTTTTAGGCCCCCAAGGATGCAGACATCTGTGCTCCAGGCTATCAGCAGCACTCACTTCCCGGTCAGACAGAGACAGAAGGCCAGGCAGAGGCTGTCCCTCTCCAACTTCCACAAATGCTGTCTTTGTGCTGGGGCCTAAGCCCCCAGTCTATATGGGTACAGGAGAGGCAAGAGAGAACAAGTTCTGCAGTGTCTGCTTGAACCATTGCTGCAAAGGACCACTCCCATTTGTGGCTGGGGTTTCCACGTTTTTGGAAAAGTTGCTAGCCACGAGCTGTCCTGATACCCTTCTGAGCTAAGCTGGGGTCTCCTGAGGAGCCAGAGGAAGGACTGCTAAGTGCTCCATTATTGATTAAAGTATTGTGTTTGGGCCTAAGTCATCTCTTCTATAATAAAAGGAACCCAACCTCAGACATAACTGGACACTGAAAGGGATATAGATGTCTCTGTGAGGCCAGCACCAGGGACAAGGGATACTGTGACAGAGAACCAAGCTGCTCAATTGCAGCTCGAGTTGTTTTTGGAAGTAGAAGAGGCATATATAATAAACACCTATGAGTGAAGAATGAATGCTGAGAGGTTTGGGGCAGCCTCTACCCAACTCTCCTTGTTTTTTGTTCCTCCCCTTTTGGAACAGGCACCAAGACCACTGAGCACAAAATGGAAGAGGATGTGAAGACAGCCCACGAAGTATCCCTTTGGGGCCTCCTGCTTCCCCTCCTCCTCCCTGCTCCTCAGATCACATTAGTACCCTATCCCATTCTAGCTGGAGAGGGAAGCAATAAAGTCATGGGGCAGTTACTGAGATGCAGGCTGGAAATAATTCTGCAAAACATGCATTGCATGCACCAAGGTGACCAACAGGGAGATATTTGGGGGGCAAGAGAGCATTCTCTCTGCTTTGCAGATCATCCTGCAAACACGGCTGTCTAACTGCACACAGGGGCATAGTTCCATTCACTGACCCCCCCCAAGGACACACTCACAACATAAGCACACTGCTCACGTTCTCTCTGTGTCCACGTGCACAACCGTTATGAATTACCATTCTGCTTCTGCTGGCTTGTTTCTGTCCTATAAATGGAGCCTGGAGTTAGCTATTTATCATTATATTTGAAAAAAGTAAATTAAAAAATTATTTTGCCGAAAAAAAAAATCTCTGAGGTTTTAGAAACCAATTTCCACATGTCAGATCCCTCCCTTAGGTCTGGCTTTCTCATCCTTGTTTGGCCTCAGTCTGTTGGATTTCAGACATGGCTTGATTTCTTTCTGTCCCAGTTCTCTAGGTCAGTACAAATTTTCAAGGTGACCAGATATTTCCTGCAGGCTTCCTAGTGTAGTATCTGTAAGGCAGAGACGGGAGAGGAGGAATAAAGGCCGCCTGGGAAGCCAAAGGAAAGGTTTTGACGGTACGACAATAGAGGATCTTACAGCAACACACAGTCAGGTCTGGGCTGTGGTGGGAGGCATACAGCAAGCTGTCCCCAGAACTAGGAGCATAAACATGGAGTCTACAGGCCAGGTAAAGTGATGACAGTGAGTCAAAGAGTCAGGTATTGGAAGGACAATTGGGAGAGGTGGGGACATTTGTAGGTGACAATTGGCTGGCTACCCAGATCCAGCTCATTATTACCATGTGGCAACATGGGCCCAGCACTGCCATGCTTTTCAATTCTTTAAAAGAAGCCAGAACTTAAATTCTTTTTTAAAAGATTTAATTAATTAGGGGTGCCTGGGTGGTTCAGCTGTTAAGCGTCTGCCTTCGGCTCAGGTCATGATCCCAGGTCCTGGGATCGAGCCCTGCATCGGGCTCCCTCCTCGGCGGGAAGCCTGCTTCTCCCTCTCCCACTCCCCCTGCTTGTGTTCCCTCTCTCGCTGTGTCTCTCTCTGTCAAATAAATAAATAAAATCTTAAAAAAAAAAAAGATTTAATTAATTAATTAATTTAGAGAGTGTGTACAAGCAGGGGGAGAGGCAGAGGGAGCAGAAGAGAGAGAGAATCCCAAGCAAGCTCCAAGTCCAACACAGAGCCCGACGCGGGGCTTGATCCCACGACCCTGAGATCATGACCTGACCTGAAATTAAGAGTCAGATGCTCAACTGATCGAGCCACCCAGGTGCCCCTGGAATTCCAAATTCTTATATGGACTGTTTGGATTTTTATATGTCAGCTCAAAACCCCTCACAGCCAAACAAAACACAATTTGAGGGCCAAATGTGGCCATGAATCACCAGAAGGCAACTCTGTCCAAGATGTAAGCAACATGAGGGCAGGATGTAGAGCCTCGTGTGTGATGAGGGCCCACCCAAGGCTTACAGAATGAGTGAGGGCCTTCCCAGGGAAGAGGTTCGACTGTCCTAGGAGAGCCAATGGGAAGACATGGCTGGCAGCATGGAGGTCTCATAGTCAAGGGCGGAAATAACTATAGAGTGAACTTGAGCCCCAGCCACTGGGATGGAAAGGAAAGGGTGAAATGGCAGTAGACAGGCTAAAGAATTTTCAAAAAGCAGAACTCAGCAAAAGACCAGATGTGCAGGACTAGGGCGGTGATGAATCTTCCAGGGGAAGCCTGTGATGAACTTGGCCAGAGGGCTGAGGGACTGGTCATGGGGGAGAGAAGGTAAACACATTTTTCTTCACTAGCTTCAAAGCCCTTCATCTGGCTCCCCCAGATGACCTTATTTCTTTTTCTTCTCCGTTCTCCCACAGAGGGGATCAGGGGATAAGCAAGGGCCCATAGGCCCAAGCACTGAGAGAAACAGAGCCAAACCTATAGCTAATTAAGGTGATGAGGTATTCATTCAGGAGAAACTGAGGAGAGCTAACAGAGTAATGGACAGGGCAGGGAATAAGCACCGAAGAAGGAGAGCATCCACAGGGAAATGTAAAGCACAGCCTGCGCTCTGCAGTATCATGGCATGTTGGCTGAATGGTGCAGAAGCAATGGCAGGAGGGGATGAGGGAGACCTAAAATAGTTCTCAAATCATAGATTTTCACAGCATAGGACATGCCTTGGGTTCTGGTCCACAGTTTTCTTAGTAACTCGAAAGCCAAGATAAAGATACTGCTAAGCAAAAGTATTCAGGACAAGGAAGGAATGGCAGACTCAAGACAACTTCTCAGCTAAACAAGGTAAGCCTTTTCGCGGCATGGCTTTTGTTGGCTTCAATCTGCAAGAGGATTTTTACGATTATGAAATTTGGTCCAAGGCCTTGGACAAATCTCAATATTCACCTTAAACCATGAGAGACGATGGACTCTGAAAAACAAACAGGGTTCTAGAGGGGAGGGGGATGGGAGGATGGGTTAGCCTGGTGGTGGGTATTGAGGAGGGCACATTCTGCATGGAGCACTGGGTGTTATGCACAAACAGTGAATCATGGAACACTACATCTAAAACTAATGATGTAATGTATGGTGATTAACATAATAATAATAAAAAAGATAAACTTTATTGGGAGTTTAAGAACAACTCTAGCCACTTGTTTACCAAAGAATTATTATAGTAGCTACTATCTACTACTTAGCCAACTAATTAGTAAATTAGTGATTGCTAACAAAGGGCTTAGTATAGTTTTGTTAGCAATATAGCCCTTTAAATGCACTATCTTATAAACATCAAGGACTTTATTTCTTTTTAAAGACTACTTTTTTTAAAGATTTATTTATTTGACAGAGAGAGATTGCGTGCAAGCACAAGCAAGGGGAGCAGGAGAGGGAGAAGCAGGCTCCTCATTGAGCAGGGAGCCCAATGCAGGACTCAGTACCAGGACCCTGGGATCATGACCTGAGCCAAAGGCAGACACTTAACCAACTGAGCCACCCAGTCGTCCCAATACTAAGGACTTTAAATGCACTATCTTATAAATCTTTACAATGATTCCATTCTAAAGAAGCTGTGGCATTATCCCCAATTTACCCATTAGGAATAAAACAAGACCTAGAGACATTAAGTCACCTGCCAGGGTAACAAAGTCTCTGAGGGACAGAGCCAAGGTCAGAACTGAAGTGCTTCCACTACAGGGCCTTTCCTCTAAGCCAGGAGTCAGGAAACATTGTCTGTAAAGGGGCCAGATAGTAAATATTTGGGCCTTGTGTGCAACATGGTCTCTGTCCTTGACTGTGCCACTGGAATGGAAAAGCAACCACAGGCGGTACATAAATACTGAGGCATGCCTGTTTTCCAACAAATCTTCACTTAATGGACACTGAAATTTGAATGTCATATAATTTTCTTTTTTTTTTTTTAAAGATTTTATTTATTTTTTGACAGAGAAATAGCGAGAGCAGGAACACAAGCAGGGGGAGTGGGAGAGGGAGAAGCAGCCTTCCTGCCGAGCAGGGAGCCCGATGCGGGGCTCGATCCCAGGACCCTGGGATCATGACCTGAGCCGAAGGCAGACGCTTAACGACAGAGCCACCCAGGCGCCCTGAATGTCATATAATTTTCAAGTGTCATGAAATATTGTTCCTCTTTTGACTTTTGCTCCAGTCATTTTAAAAGGAAAAACCATTCTCAGTTTGTGCACCATAAGAAAACAGGGGGCAGGCTGAATTTTTCTCCTCATGCTGTCGTCTGCCGACCCTGGCCTAAGTACTAGGCTCTCCTACCCTCCAGCTCATGTCACCTACTGGTTTTCTTAGGAAGCCCATAGATACTTTAGGACCAATCCTGTGAGTGTGCATATGGATGGGGTATAGGACTCTGAGGAAAGATCCGACAGAGATGATTCCTCAAGTCAGCCCTCAAAGGACTCCATCTGACCCCAGTTTACAACTGGAAAACACACCTTTCTTCCTTTCAGTTCCCTCGTTTGCTCTCTTCTGCTGAAATAAGCATTGATTCAGATCTCTGGGGAGGTTCTGGGGAGAGCAGCAATGACCCCTCCCACACAACATGGTTTTCTGCAAACACAAACCCACCGTGTCCTTCTTACCTGCAGGGTTTGGCTGAAGCGCTTTAACGGTGTGGCCTTCACGGGTGGGATGAGGTTTGCTAGTGACGTGACTCTGGAAAGGGGTTTGACACGTTTATTACTAGGCTCCTAGAGGGTTAAAAAAAAAAGGAAGGAAAATGTCAAGGTTAATTACGGACAACATAACTCCACCCTACAGTCCAGTCCCACTCCACAAGCTACTCCTACCGATCTATGGAATATAAACAGTGCCCCGTCTCACTCCAGCTGTGTGGAGATGACTTGGCTCAGGAGCCAGGGAAGGGGAAATGGCAGGGGACATCAACAGAAGCAGCCTCTGGGCAGACAGCAAATGGGTAGGGTCTGCTCCCTACACTTCACCCCCAATATCTGCCAGCTTTTAATTCAGAAGCTTCCACTTAGAATCATTCTCCCTGGGGCGCCTGGGTGGCTCAGTTGTTAAGCGTCTGCCTTCGGCTCAGGTCATGATCCCAGGTCCTGGGATAGAACCCCACATCAGGTTCCCTGCTCAGCGGGGAGTCTGCTTGTCCCTCTTCCTCTGCCTCTTTCCCTTCCCCACCCCTTGTGCTGAATCTCTGTCAAATAAATAAATAAAATCTTAAAAAAAAAAATCATTCTCCCCAGTGCCTCCTGCAGAGAAAAGCTGCCACAGATTTCCCATCCAATGACCTGGTCAGGCAGTTGTGTTTTCATGCTTCTGGTTTCACCTTTTTATTTTATTTATTTATTTATTTATTTTTAAAGATTTTATTTATTTATTTGACAGAGAGAGACACAGCAAGAGAGGGAACACAAGCGGGGGGAGTGGGAGAGGGAGAAGCAGGCTTCCTGTGGAGCAGGGAGCCCGATGTGCAGGAGCCCGATGTGGGGCTTGATCCCAGGACCCTGGGATCATGACCTGAGCCGAAGGCAAACGCTTAATGACTGAGCCACCCAGGCGCCCCTGGTTTCATCTTTTTAAAAACGCTTTCTCCATCTTGCCTGAAGCCACTCCCCAAATTTCTTTTATGCAATGGGGCTTTTCTAAAGCACAAGGAATGATTGTTTTATCAGTTCATTAAATTAAAAAAAAATTTTTTTTTAAAGGAAGTTCTTCTATTGCTGGGCTATTTAAAAAGCATCTTTGTATCTACAGTATATTTGAAATGCACCTATGAATACTTATAAATAACAAACAGGAAGAGAAAATGTACAGAGAGAAATTCCTGCCGTGCACATCTGTTTTTATAATTCATACAGCCACAAGTTTTGAAAATCACCTCCACATAAAACATTTGCAAATCTGCAAGTTACCCCAAAACAAGCTGATGGGTGTGGCCATTCCAATGTCTTTGCAGAGGAGAATTACATAAAAACAATAGGCTGTGGGAAAGAGGGACATGACAGACAAAACATTTTACAAAGACAAAGACAACAGTTACCCTTGCCTTCCTAAGTTCCATCTGACCTGCTGTAGATGCTGGACAGCACATGAAGACACCAAATTTTGATGAAAAAAGCCAAACTTGCCAATTGCTGTAGTGAACCTCAACCATTTCCAGAGGAAGCCTCAAGATGCTCCTATTTCTTTTTCAGCCATTGCTTTCAAAGTTTTGAGGGGTAAGGCAGAACTTCAGATTCTCCAGGACATCCCTGCAGGGTGTTTTGAACATAGTAGGTACTTGGAAAAATCTTGCCTGAATTTGGAATTTGTCGAGAAACTCTCATATCATTTTGTGCCCTTGCCAATCTCAGATGTCAGAAGCCGTCTTGGAAATAGACCCGATCCTTCTGGCATTTAAATAGAAACATTAAAAGACTAAAGAAAAAAAAGTGCAAAACAATTCCACAATGTTGCCAGGATTGACTTCATGATTTCTCGAAGCAGTGAAATACTTTTCCAAGACAGAGAATGAATCTGGGCTGCCAGGGACCTCTCCAGCTTCTTGGCATGCTGAGCGGAACAGACAGTAGGAAACTCTCCGAACACTGGGGAGGCTCAGTTCCAAAATGCAAGGGATGAATCTCTCAATATGAGAGACATCACATTACTATTATTGACGTGCTGAAGAGGAAGATCCAATAGCCCTTCTGCTTCTAGGTGACAATGTCCTTCAGGGATGCTCCCTGTCCAGTGCCTGGCTCCTGAGCATCTGTGCCCAGAGGAGGATTTTTAAAATATTTTTTATGTCAGAGCTGCATCACCAGCATACTAAACACACACACGCACACCCTCTTGAGCAGCCCCTGAATTTCTCTAATTTAGCTCTGGCTTTGGGCTGGAAATGCCAGAGTTGTGATATCACCACCTTTGGTTGTCCAAACTGCATTGCAGCAAATGGTGGTGGTGGGGAGGGTTCATGGGGCAGCAGGACTTGGTCTCAGATGATCCTGCAAACACCTCAGAGCCCGGAGACTCCCAGATCTCCATTTTTCTTAACGGCTAAAGGTGCTGGATCACAGATTCTGTATCAGAATGGGGAGGCTGAAAGACAAATGCCAATTGGTTCTCTTGCTTTAAAAAGGGGCAGGGAGCATCACATGCTTGGCAGGATGGGGGAAGATTCAGTTCTGTTCCACTTGCTGTGTCATCTTTTCTAAGGTTCTGCTGACTTTGCTGTATGACCCAGTCCACGGGTGTTTACGCAGCTACAAGATGTATGCACAATGCAGATGCCAGCCCCTCTGCACTACATGAGATTGTAATTAAAACTCTTTCCTAGGGCATTGCCCATTTGGAAGTAAACATCAGGCTGCTCTCTGGCAATCTGACATTCCCAAGTAACGAACAACTGAAGCAGAAACCACTGCTGCATGATTTAGTGCTGTGATCCAGTAAAGCAGGCAGGTGCAATTTCAAAACCAGAACATTTATAGGTTGTTGGATCTATGGTGGAGGCTTTATGCCTGACCCACATGAGCCAAGTATGAATTATGGTGTTCTCCTTGAGGGCTTCAGTGAGACTAGGAGATTAGAAAAATTCTTGGCCTAATTTGATTTTTCTTTTCCATTTACTCAGTATGTCTCCAGCTACATTTTACTGCTATCTAAAAAGAGCCCTCGGGGAAAATGTTTCCAGATTCTAGTTAAATAGCTCTACTGAAAACTAGCAAATGCAATTCCAAGGATGCTTTTGGGTTTTACAGAGAGATGACAGAATACAACCTGCAGAAGCTTCCTAGTCCAACAACTCAGCTGCCAGACCAAGCTGGGCAAAATCGATGCTAAACCCAGACACAAGATATCCTGTTTCAAGTGCAGACACCACCCCCACCATGCAATTTTAAGAAGGGCAGGAGGGCATCTCACTAAAAAGGTTAAAAAGCAGAAAAAAGATAAAGGCATTGAGTATTGTGTGTAGGGAGTATTGTCTGTATAACAAAATTTTGTTTTGTCTTTTCTAGGCCTTTAGGTTTTTTGTTTTTCTTGTCTTATTGCACTAGCTAGGGCCACCTATATATTATTGATTACAGGCTGAGAGAGTGGGTATACTATAATTGATTCTAAAGTGATTATTATGAAGAGTTCATCATTATGAATTGTGCTTGCTGAGAGCATGGAAGAGATACCGTTTATCAAGTAGAAAAAGTTCCACTCTATGATAAGTTTGCTGTGAATTTTTATAATGAATGAATACTGACTTTTATCAAATGTTTTCTTGTTATCTTTTCAGAGGACAAGGAAAGGGAAAAAAAGAAGGGAGAGGGGCAGGAAGGGAAGGAGACAATGAAGAGGCATGGAGGTCACATATTTTCATAAATGTATTGGCACAGCAATTTAAACCATCTTTTGGGCTTGACTTACAAAGGGGAATAAAGCACTCCGTGCCATTTTATTTTTAATGTTAGATTTTATTTTTGTTTTTTTTGAAGATTTTATTATTTGAGAGAGAGAGGGAGAAGCAGACTCCCTGCTGAGCACGGAGCCCAACGCAGGGCTCAATCCCAGGGCCCCGGGATCATGACCCAAGCCAAAGGCAGACGCTTAACCGACTGAGCCACCCAGGCACCCCTAAGGTGAGATTTTATTAAGTAGATTTTACTACTCCTTCGCTAGGGGAGACAATGGTTTTCTTTCCTTCTCCTCATTCTTATCTCCCAACAGGTGAAAAACCAAAGCAGGTTACATGCATGTAAGGTTAAGTGCCTATCACATCAATATGATCTAGCACAACTATTTATTCCTTCAAAAATGATTCCATTCTAATAGACGTGGCATATAGGAAATGATCACTCATTCTCCTTGCACTTCATTTTTGCAGCTAGAGTGGTGTTGGGGAGCAATAGGAGGGTGTTCCTCATTGTGTTTGTAGGTGCCATGAGACTACCTTCACTCAGCCACAAACCCAGCCCAAGAGGGACCAGAAATGCCTTCATCAGTGCAGGACTGACCACTCTACTGCAGGGCAACACTGCTCTTGGCTGTTACACACCTGGCCAGGAGCAAGGGAGAGGTGAGAATCAGCTGTGCTAGCAGAAGCTTCTGCCCATGGGTTGATGGAGTCAGAAAAGTCTTTCAAATGCTTGAGGACACCAGGGAAGCCTTAGGCAGGGCTCCATCTCTGTGGAGAGAGGAGGTGTGCTAGGAATACCCAGTAGCCCTCTAGGAGGCTTTCGTCATCCTCAGTGAACAGAAGTTACAATCTCAGAGTGGTTGAGAAGCTCTCGTATTATGAAATAATAGTAATAATAATAATAAAAAGCTCATATTTCGTGCAGGGACTTCTCTCAATGCTTTACAGATATCTACTAATTTATTCCTCCTAATACCCCTGCAAGGTAGATACTATGATGATCCATATTTTAAAGATAGAGATAGAGATACAGAGGCAGAGGATGAGCTATGTGCTTAAAGTCACTCAAAAGAGGTGGCCAGGATTTAAACCTAGGCAGGCTGGCTCCAGAGCCCCTGTCTTACAGCTTTGTGTAAGGGGCCAGATGGTAAATGTTTTAGGCTTTGTGGGCATCTAGCCTCTGTCACGACTATTCATCTCTGCCATCACCCTTAAACAGTATGTAAATAAATGAATGTGATTATGTTCCATTATAGACACTAAAATCTGAATTCCACAGAGTTTTTACATGTCACAAAATATTATTGTTTTGCTTTTTTCAACCATTAAAAACAG